GAGGACTCGGGAGGAGGAGCAGTGCTCAGTGTCGAGGTGCCAGTCTTGGTATGAAAGCAAAGCGCCACATTGACTACATTCAGTGAAGCCAACGCAAGTTTCTGTACATTTTCAACAATCAATTTGAAGCTTTTCCACACCTCACTCTTACCGGTGCGTGTTTGTCTTTTCAGTTCTCCTGCCTTTAGTTTAACTTCTTGCTCCTCCATATTGGGATACCAGGTCAAAATAGATGCAGACTTGCGGAGGGGAAGATTATTAAATTAAGAGGGGCGTTCACGTGCGCAGCAGAGCTCTGCGCACGTGAACGCGGATCCTGTTTAGTAGTTAAATAGCAATTACATTACATTACTTCTCTGTTTTATCCATATTATTTATTTTATACAAGATTCTTAGTTTATATCCACACATCGTTTTAGCATACATTTTATAAACATATATTTATTTGAAGCCCGAGCCCGACCCGACCCGAAGTAATGATCGACATTTTGGCCCGATTTCGGGTCGGGTCGGGTCGGGCTTGGGCTCGGTCTTAAATCTTACCTCTACTCGTGAATGAGATTTCCCTAAACATGAGCCGATAATCAGTGGGTTTGACCGAGACACGCGGGACAGAGGGAGGAGGACGCTCCACGCAGCACCACGTGATCACGACAAAGACTTTATTAAAGACTTTATTAAACCTTGTTTAATAAATAAATACAAAACTAAAAGTGACAAAAATGACTCATCTGTTCATTTAATCATATTTTATAATATTTAGACAGCATATCTTTGCAGTAAAGCCCATGTGTTTTTTCGCGGTTTCAAGCGTTTTATCGCTATATTTTTAAGTCTGTCTATGAAGTGTGTGAGGACTGGCCCTGTATTTATGCATATACACGTAGATACGTGCACGAGCTGATCTGAATGGTCAAATTATGAGCGCGTGCGAGAGATTCAGATGCCCTCCCCTGGTGAGCGAAAGGAGCGCGGGAGGGACACGAGGATACGAGGACACAGATTTAGCATGAAACACATCAGATACAGATGTTATTCTGCCAATTAAAGTCCACACGAAACATCCAAACTGCTGAACCTGTGAGTGTGGGTCTGGATCTGTGAGTGTGGGTCTGGGTCGGGACGGGCACAGGCATTATTCTGTTCTTCATACAGTCAGAGAGCAGCTCTCATGTACAAGAGTTCCCCATTACACAAAAATGTAGGAAAGATTTTGGTTGGGGTCAGGTTTGGGCAGTAGGCTTCGTGTCGTGCGCAGACTCGGGTCACTCTGCCGCTCAGTGCGTAAAGACTAAAGTAGAAGTGTTAAAGTTGCGTTCATTAAATCAAAGCCTGGCTCCTGCTGCGTCCAAGGGAAGAGTTTTCTCTCAGGTTGGGTCATTATTTCGTCCTCTGTGTAGGTCACAGTCTGTGTTCTATAGGAGTCTATGGTCGCGGTGTGGACTGTGGGACTCTGCGCTACACCGGGTCTGGGAACGTGGCCGCGCTCGTCAAATGTGTAATATTGTGGAGAATAATGAGTGGAATAAACAGCCCTTCTCCGTATTTTGGCGAACCAAACACTTAAATGCGCAAGTCAGAAGGTAATTCTTCTATATACGTGGATTTTCTGATCAAACACTTCCTCAAACTCTGTTCACTTCTGCTTCTCTCCACGAGTGTCGCTTTTTCCCCGTGTCTCCAGACTTTGCGTAGAACTTACAGGAGGTTCCCGAGTTGGCGTAGAGTTAAGCAAAGAGCCACGCCTTAGGCGAGTTTTATAAATACCGCGGTTGGCGTAGGAAGCGCGCACGCACGGATTTTTGCGTAAGCAAGCTTTATAAATGAGGCCCCTGGACATTTATGCTGTAAACACAATAAAAAAAATAGCATTTAATTTCAACTTATGCTGATAAATCATTTTGTACAATCATTCAATCATGAAAGAGCATGTCTAAACTTGCAAACCTGTAGTTTTATGTTTTATAGTTTTATGTGAAATGTTTGTAACAGTCTGTTAAGTACATGATTAAGTACTGAATCCTAATCCAAAGAAATATGTTGTAAAAATAGGGAGGTTCATTTTATTGGATCTACAGTTGTAAACAGACAAACATAAGGTAGTTTATTTCAACGGGGTAGTGTTAATCGATAGCTGTCAGTGTCGATTTAGGCTGCTTGTAACACTTAAGATGGCAGACACTTTTTCAATTACCTAATTAATAAACATTTTTACATGTTAGGTTAAGTCATTACAAACACCTACAACTGGAAATGGATGGGTTTAGTCCTGGTTCAGACTTCATTCATTCCTGTCTATATTTAGATTAGACCTGGTGTAGTTCTAGACTAGCACCAAGAAAATAAACAGGCTCTATTCACGCTTACCGGAAGTCGTTTGGAAACATGCAGATGACGACTTCTGGTGTAGTTACCGACACTGGGCATGTATAATAAAACCATGGATTCAACCTGCCAAAGCTTTCCATGGGGGACATGACTCTAATTGCATCTTCAGTGTCACTTACAGACAGCTGGTTGTAACTGTTGATCTGCCGAAAATAACAAAATGCTACAATTTTTAAATTACTTTTTTTTTTTAAAGTTAGACAAACTATAATATAGAAACGAACAAGCAATTTATAAAAGTACAGTGACATCTAGGTGAAGGAAACCAGGCCATTTTCTCAGTTTTCCCAGACTTTGTCAAAGTTACTATGCCAACAAGGCCCAAAGGAAGTCGTCATCCACATGTTTCCAGTGAACAGAGCCCATTGCATGCTCATTTATAACTGGCTTGAAATGGTACTGGTTTAAATGTTACCTGTAAATGTTGGGTTATTCTTGATTCTTCATAATCTTGATTTGGACTGCTGTTGCTTTAATTATATTACTTATTGTAATACTTTGTTTGGTGGTGTAGTACTTACATACTTCCTTACTTACTTACAGATTTGTGTTTTTAGATAAATAAAAAAAAGGTACTGGCATTTTTACACAGTTAGAGGTGTCCTATATTACCATCTCTCTAGGATTGGCCATTGTAAATCAGCCAAAATTGATATAATGCATGCTCTTTGATGAATATTAGATTATTTAAGTAGTGCCAGAATTTTTTATGACTTGTAAAAGCTACTAAAACAGGACTAAACCAGGACTACATTTTTCTACATTGCAAACAGGACAAGATAAGGGATTGCATTTAAACCTGGGTTAGATCTTGTTACCTGCAGTGAGAAGGTCAGGGCCAGGTCAGTCTCCACCGAACCACTGGGGGGCAGCACTATCTCATGGGACCTTAGGATGCGCTTGGAGCCCTGTGAAAATGGGTCAAGTTTGTGTTTAGTCATAATACAACTATGCAAGTGAGCTTACTAATACAATGCAAAAATTGAATATAATAGATCTCATGGTCAGTCATTACAGTTATTGCTAAGGCGTAATTATGCACACTCCTATTACAAGCAGAAACTTGAAATTAAACCAAAATAACTAGTTTATTACTACTGTATTCATTTACAATTGCAATTTGCAATACAATCACTACGTACTTGTATTTTGACTGCGATGACGACAGAGATGAGCTCCTTGTCCAGTTCCCTCAAAACCACCAGCTTCTTCAGAGTCAGACTGCACAACCTGAAAACACACAAAGGAGAAAACACATGTTAAATCAGTGACAATAGCAGGGCAAGTGTGACTGTCAAGTACTAGTAATATAGTTTGATTTTTATCACAAATCATGCGCATTTAAAATCTTTATATTGCCTTAAAATTGCAATAATTGTTGTAAAACTTGTCTCTGTGGTTGCTTTACGTAGAATGTTCCAAAATATGGCATTAAAGCTTTCTCATTAAAGGGCATATCCACATGAGACAAGAAGTGGGACAAAGTTCAGTGTCTTCTCTGTCAGCACAAATGAACCAGAGTGAAGCCAAAATAATAGCACGATTTCAGAAGCTAGAGGGGAAAACACTAGCTTCTGAAATCATGTTATTATTCAACCCTAAAGATGTGATTGTCACTTTGAATTTAGGCCAAAAGATTAACATAGCAGCTTTGTGGAGCCAGTTCCTAACAAATAATCAATCAAGTTCAACATTTGTGGATCATAAATTTGGATATTTATTTCAAAACAGTAAATCTCCCATAAAGTTATATTTGCCCCTGCTCTTTGTCTGGTAATATGACATAATCTAACTCTAGAACAATACATAAGGGGAGTTGGTGAAAAAATTGCAGTGAAATCATGTGGGGGGTGCTCTACATTCATTCATCGTTGATCAGTTACCATGGTGACGCAATGCACATACTAGGAAACACAGTCAAAAAAGTTTAAAAACTGAATTTAAACAGTACATTTTCAGGAGCCTATGATTATTATGAGCCTTCATGGTCATGTTTAGGTGATTTTCAGCAAAAAAGGTGAGAGCGACTGATTGAAAAACTATTGGCTAATGCTGGCTAGGCTGCAGCAGTAATGATATTTGCGAGGGACTTGCTTA